TTTATAAAATCCATTGTAAAACTTCCTGGTCTGAATCTTTAAGCAACCAGATGTTAATGTGAACCATAACCAGGGAAAGTGAACAATGGCAAGCTAACAATATCAGAGAAATCAGGTGACATAAAAAAGAGTTAACACTCAATATTAACATATGTAATTAAATAAAATTTCATTTTTTTACAGTGACCAAGTAATCTAGTAACCTAAATTATGGCATTTCTAATCCACCTAAGGTTGTTGTCAAATTCAGTAATTAAAAATGCAATGCACTGTAGAAAACACATTTTTTTGTTAATTTTAAAGATATTTACACCTTAATATTTTTAAAACAAATTATTTACTCAAATAAATTCTTACAATTACTTGTTGGTTCCTATGACTAACTATTAACAGTTATTTCTGAATTACATAAATGTGTTGATTACTAGGCAAGTAAATCTTGTTTTTAAAAACATTGATAAGTTGGAACAATGATCAAAATGGAGGATTCACATTCATGTCTCTGGTTTAAAGTCTAGTGATTTGTAGTGATCCAATATTTTATATAAATATTTTATATAAATACAAAATTCAGTAATTTGTTTTCTTAAGTCTAAAAGTTATATGAGATTATAAATATCTTTACAAATATATTTTTTGTTCAGAAATTGTATTTTATTTTAGGAGAAATATTCCTAAACACAAAATGTATTTTATGAATTATCTTAAGCATAAAGAAACAATTACTCACTTTTATTTTTAAGAAAAAAAAATTATAATGCATTGAGAAATATTTGCTAGTGGAAATGCAACAATTTTTATTTACCTAACCTGTTACTTCACACTGTTGTTAGAATCAATTTTATAAAGGTAAAATTTTAATCTAACAATATGGTTTAATTCAAAAAAATCAGAAGGTTTATAGAGGTAATATTCCTAATTCAAACAGAATTTTGCTAGGTTTTAATTTTCCACAGAGCACTGAAATAAATAAATTTTTAAGCTTTGTTTTAAAGGTTTCAAGTATTTTACAGATAAAAATTTTGGACAACACTGAATTCTTTTAAAAAAAAAAGTTATTTTAAGTTTTGTTTTACTCCATGGTAGAAAGTATTGAAAACTCCTTTTTTTCTGCCAAAATCGCATTTTCACCTGAAATAATTGTATTCAGGTTTTCTCAGCAGGTAAAGATACATGCTTACAAGGTTTCAAATTTCAGAATTCCAACAATGCATTCAAACTGAGCACCTACTGAATCACGTTCGTGTGTGTGTGTGTGTGTGTGTGTGTGTGTGTGTGTGTGTGTTATCTTGAGGTTTTATTATTTACACTGAATTTTAGTGTTGTTGTTGTTTGTTTTTTTTTTTATCTCCTCAGAAATACCTTAGTGAACCCTCAGCATTTGCTAACCACTTAATAATTGTGAACCGGCCAGTCCCTTCAAGTGATCGTTAACCACAAGAGTGCCTGACAATTTCCAAATCATACCCTCTGTCCAAAAGGAAAAGATAGGGCTTTGTGAGGCCGAAAGGAAGCGAAGGAAAACAAAACCAATGTAGCTCATGCTGAAAGTGAAAAGTGCTTGGACAGATTAGTATTTTCTTTTCTGCAAGGCGTCCTGCCAAACTTTTTTTTTTTTAATAGAGAAGAATTATTTTTCGGTCTGATTTTTCAGTTTCTTGGAAAGTGTGGGTATTTACCATCCCCATGGGCCCCTCATAATTATTGTCGATCGTTTTGTGTTTTTCCCATCCGTCTACATCTCAAACTGCTGATACCCCCTCCTCACTCTGTCAAAACCCCAACTCCGGGCGACCCTGGGTGTGGAAACTCCGCCGACTCCCGGCGACACATCCCCCTCACGCTTCTGATTTTAGTCGCAAGCTTCTCCCACTCCAGTTGCAGGGAAAGCCGGAAATTTTCATTTAAGCCCCCCCCCTCCCCCCGCCTCGCCCCCCACTTGGAGCCGAGAGCTGGGGAGCTGGGAGGCTCCGAGTACCGCCGCTCCGGCCGCCTCCGCTCTCTCCGGAAGGCTTTAATTTGCACACTTGCTCGCCCCTGCGCCGCGAGCCCCCCACCCTGCCGCCCGGTGGGTCTCGGGCAGAGTCGGCCTCCCGGGCCTCCGCCCCGCCCCCGCCCCCGCTACCTCCCCAGCTCGGGCCCCGAGCTCCGGCCGGAGCCCCACGGCTCCCGTCCACCCCCTGCGAGCCGCGCGGGCGGCGCCCTCCGCCGTCCCTCCGCCCTCCGCCGCTGTGCCCACCCCCTCGCCGAGAGCGAGCTGGTGACTCCTTCCTCCGAGCCGGGTTACCTGCTCCCCGCCGCCGCGGACACGTGCGGAGGTCGGACTGACACTCGCAGCCCCCTCGCGAGGCCGGATGTGGCCCGGTCGCTCAGGTGAGGATCTGGGCGCTCGGGTGGGTGGGCTGCGGGGTGGGGGGAGGGGGTCCCCGGGGGAGAGTGGGGCCCTCGGCTGGGGTCGGAAGCGAGAGTGTGGGTGGGGGTGACTGATGGGGTGGAGGGTATGTCCTCGGAATCCACTTTGATTAACCCTTTGCGAACCAAGGCGGGCTAGTTACGGGGTCCAGTTTGGGGGCGCTCAAGGCGTCTCTCCTAATCTGACTAGAGACTGAGGACATCACACACTAGGGACGCCCAACACAGGTCCTGTGCCCGCTCCCACATAGCCGTGCGCAAAAGCACAATCACTCCTTATGCAGATTTTGAAACGGAATTTAAACTCCACTCGGACGGTCCTACAATAATCCACATTTAGGGGTGAAAATGCACTGCCCCTGGGGACTCTGTGCGGGAGAATGTGTTCCCGTGCCCCATGTTGATTTCCCACGAAAGCTCCCGCTCCCGCTCGCCGAGGTGTGGGTGTGGGCTCCACCTTCCCACCACGAGGTGAACGTGAACGCAGGCTTCTCGCTGGCAACCCCCGCGGCGGAGTTTTGCACACTTGGAGGAGTGCACGCAGGCTGCCCAGTGCCCAGGCTTGGAGCCCCGCATGGACTCAAGGCAGGTTCGCTTTAGCTTCCCAGTTTACTTTTCGAATTTCCAATATCGGAGTTCTAACGCACACCCCGCGGGGAGCAGCTTCGGCCCCGCAGCCCGCCGGTCAGTGTGCACGTGGGCGCATCCGTGTGTGCGCGCACGCGGGAGCCGTGGTCCCCGGTGCGGCCTCTGGTCGCGGCGCTGGTGGCGACCCTTGCGGTGCTTGGCAGGCTTCGAGAGAGGCACATGAAGGATTTCATTGAGTGTGAAGACAGAGAGCAGAGACAGAAAGCAGAAGGAGGCGGCTGCAGCCTTTGTAGTCGCGGAGGAATGCGGAAATGTTGAAGCACTATGTCAAACTTTTTGAAATGGGGTCAAGTCACATTCAGCCAGCGTGGGAAAGCAACAACAACAACAAAAAAAAGTGGAGGGGGGGTGGGGGGGTAAAGGCACTGTTGCTCCCGTTTCTCTCCGCCGGAGCCGATGGTCTGGGGAGCGAGGAGGGGCCGCTAGGGCGGGTGGTGCGGGGCCGGGCGGGGGCAGCAGGCGCAGTGGGCGCAGTTCCCTGCGGGGGTGGGACGTCCGCGACGCTTCCTTCGCTGCAAAGCCAGGGGCTGGAGGGGCGGGGATGGGATGGGGGGGGTGGGGACACGGGAGGGCGGGCGGCGCAGCCGGCGGCGGCTCCTCCGCTACCTGTGTGGCCCTCGGCCTGGCTCAGGTCCTCGGGCAGACGGCGGGGGCTCGTTCCTCGGCTCCCCCAGGACTCGCCTACCCGCTTTAAGAAGAGTTTGAGTGGAGTCCGTGTGAGAGGCTCCATCCTCGCTGAAGTCTCCTCTGCCCGAACGCAGTGGGGGTCGCGCCATTTGTTTCTTTAATTCCTGGAAGAAGGCGAGCTGGCCAGCTGTGCGGGGCAGGTAATTCCTAGGTGGCCCGGGAATTCCGGACACGCGGCCGGCGTAGCGAACATCCTGCCGGGGCTGCGGTAGCCGCGGGTTGGAGGTTTCCTGGGAACTGCATTGCAAAATGAATGGGGAGGGGAGGTGATTCCCCCCCCCCCCCCCCAACACACACACCACCCTACACTTTGTTGCGGAGGGCTGGGGGAGGGGGGGCGACTGGCTGCCGAAGGCATCAGGCCTGAAGCCGAAAGGGGAATGGAAACCTCTGTCTGCTACGTACATCGGAGATGATCCTGGGAGTCGGGGAAGAGCCCCCGCCGCGGGAGTGGAGCCTCTTCTCTCTCACCCCCGGAGGCTTAGCATTTCCTCCCCTCACCCCACCCCACGTCACCGCCACCCTTTTTCCTGGGGAAATTGAGTTTTACTTGGGTTGGAATCGGTTAGAAATTTCAGGGCGGGTTACAGTGGTTACCTTTCTCCTTAAGTTATTCTTTAAAGAGACGAGCTAAAATGTGGCGAGCACCCTTTCTCCCACATTTGGAGTCCCGTGGGCGACTCCCTCAATCCAGGACCCCACCGCCCACCCACCCACTCCCCAATAGCGGGAACCCCACCTCTCCCGTCCTGATGGGTTTCCACCAGGGAGGTCCTACGCGTTGGCGAAGGAAGAGTGCCATTTCCAAACCAGACTCCTTTACCCCCCAAAAGACTATTTGTGATGCAAGTCGTTTTTAAATGTTTCCTGGTAGAAAAACTGAAAGTAGAAAGAAAGGAAGCAATTTTCGAGCAGATGTCTGACCACCCCTTCTCGCACACTCCCAAGCATCGAGTTACAGGGTCCTGGGGGCCCCCACCCACACTCTACGGCCCCACACGGGTGGACTCAGTCCCTCCATAGCAGCTTGCGCGCGACCCCTGACCGTCCCACGGCACCCCGGAGCCCCTCTCCCTGCGCGTCCAGGCCGGGGAAGGGAGGGAGGGAGGGGAGCAACACAACACAATGATAGAGGAATAAATATTAAGCCGTGACATTGACGTGCCCGGCGCCTCCCCTCCCCCGCGCTCCCGGCACACTCTGGGCTGCTCGGCACGCCCCCTCCCGTTCCACTGCGTCCCGCGCGGCACTGCGCGGCGCGCTCATCCCCGAGGGGCCCCTGCAACCTCTCCGCGCGCAGACGGTTCCAGCCCTACGGGGACGGAAAAGTAACTTCGCTTTTCTCGGAAGAACCAGGAAGATTAATCGGCCAGGGAGAAGGCAGGAGCGCGCGGAGGGTAGCGACGGGGGCTTCGTGAAGGAGGAGGAGGGGAGTCTGCAGGAACCCGGAGGAAGGCGTTTGGGATGTCTGATTGCACTTTCTTCTTGTCCTTCCATCTCTCCTTTTAGGTGGAATAATTGTGGGCTGAGACGCGCTCCGGCAGAGACTATGTAATCGGCTCGGTGACTGTACAGCGGACTGCGCTTCGGGGAGGGAAGAGGAGGGATCGGTTCGCTTCTTTGCGACTCGGCAGGCGGAGTTTCGCAGCGGCACCAGTGTCGCGCCCGCCCGCCCGCGGGGAGGTCGCTCCATCCAGCCCCGCCGGCCGCGAGAGCCCGAGCGCCGGAGCGCGGTAGTCGGCTGGGGTGAGGGAGAGCCAGACCCAGCTCCGGGGCGCCAGGGAGCGGGCCGGGGAGTCCCGAGGAAGGCGAGCGGCGGTCGCAAACCAGCGGAGCGCGCCCCCAGCTCGCTCCAGCGGTGCGGCGTCCAGGCGGCATGGAGAAGGACGGGCTGAGCCGCGCGGACCAGCAGTACGAGTGCGTGGCGGAGATCGGGGAGGGCGCCTATGGGAAGGTGTTCAAGGCCCGGGACCTGAAGAACGGAGGCCGTTTCGTGGCGCTGAAGCGCGTGCGGGTGCAGACCGGCGAAGAGGGCATGCCGCTCTCCACCATCCGCGAGGTGGCGGTGCTGAGGCACCTGGAGACCTTCGAGCACCCCAACGTGGTCAGGTGAGCCGGGGAACGGTGCCCGCGCCGTCGGGGGCCGAGCGCCCGGAAAGTGCTGGGCCAGGAGGATCCAAAAGTGCCAGGGAGGAGGGGGCTGGGGCACGGTGCGACCCGTTGACCTTACGGAGAGAATAAGTTTTGTTGACAGAGCCACGAGCCAGAACCGGTGACCTTGCCAGACAGCGAGCAGAAAGACAAATCAGAAAATGTGACCTACGCAGGCTTCCCTCCCTGCCGGCCCTGAAAGGGGTCTGGGAAGTTGGGTGCCCTTTAGGCACAGAACAAGCCGACCTGAGACACGCCCTGCTAGCCCTACCCCCTACACCCCCCCCCCCCCCCCCATAGTTCCCTGGCCATTGGGGAATTTTTGAGAGACTGAGTATAAGTGAGAGGTAGCAGGACGCAGTGATCATTTGAAGGAAGAGAACTTTACTGGTATAAATAAGGTTAAAAAATGCAGAACAATGTTTTTGCCAATCACACCCAGGGTTTCTCTTTATTAAAGAGATAATGATAAATAGTAGTCTTGATGGTCTAAGGACTAAAGTGCTGATGCCCATTTTCCAACAGTGTTCTTTTAAATATTCTAAAAATATTGCCTATTATGTTATGTCTCTGGGCCAACATAGTCTTTGGACTACTTCTCCAACAGGGCAGATATGAGTCCAAGACACGGAACCTTAAATTCTAAATTCTAAATTCTGCCTTTGCCTTTTCTGGAGGGTTATGCAGTGGGTGGGGAGACAAAAGTTCTTGAAGTCTCCTGTGTGGAAACCAGTAGTAAAGTGTGTGTGTGTGCCTTAGGATAATGGTGTTTTCTTGGTGATCCTGGAATTTCCCCATTGTGTGGTTGACACTGTGTGGTGTGTTCTCTCTTTATTTTCTAAACAGATGAATAGTTTCAAGTCAGAAAGGAATGCACAGAAACATCTACAAATTAGGGTGTGCTTTTACCTTTCTTCAACTCTCGAGAGAGAATGTGTTGGAAAAGGGCCTTGGGTTCTTCTTCCTGACTTCTTATCCATCTAGGGATTCTGTTCAACAAATATGTGCCTACTGTGTGCACTGTGGATGAAAATATGTAAATAAGGACAGCTAAATATTTTTGTAACAAGTCAAACAATTTAACATTAGTCATCAAAGTGGAGAGACCCAAGACTGACCTTTGAAATACCAAGCTCTCTACAGACTCAGGGAGTCCAAGTGTCTACAGAATCATCCTGGGAGGTTTTAACTTGTCTCCTCTTATTCCAGGCTGGTGATTTGTGTGGCACTTTGTTCCTGACACAGGGAGACTCAGGCTAGAAGGCAGCAAAGAATCATAAATACATAAATAAGGCAGTAAATGGCTATAAAGATAAGGACCCCATTATACCTCCACTTAACCAGTAAAGCCCGAGAGGGACAGAAGATAATGAGATTGGGAGAATTGTGTTTTAGGAAGATGGGATCACATATAAAAGCAATACGTTAACCTTTTGTGTGTGTGTTTTCTTCCTTGAAAAACTACAAAAACGCTTTTGGGGAGTCTTTGCGATAATGAAGGGAAAAACGAGGGTACATTTTGTCCCATGTAACTTAGTTATCGTCCTAGAAGAATCACCTAGGTGTTTCCCAAAGGATGAATTCCACCACTAGAATTTTAGGACTAAAATTTGTGTTTTATTTTGTTTGTTACCTCTGGAGAGTGTCCAATCAAGGATGATCTTCATGTGTGTAAACAAGATGCTGTCCTGACGTAGAGGTGTTATGGAGGCACCCCTGTGCAACACTGCATTTTACAAAGCACAGGCTATTCTTGAAAGCTATACTTATGAATTGAAGACAAGGGGTCGTTTTCTAAAATTATCTTTATATGTTAAGTTTCTTCGTACAAGTCATAAGGAGAAACTGAGATAGTGTCTGTGAGAGCACTTTGTCCATTTAAAAGTGTTTCAGATGTCCAAGTATTATTTGTGTTCAGGCAGATTCGTGGGCCCCTTGCCTCAGAGCCAGTTCCCAGTAAGGAAGGCATCAGTTCGCCTGACTTGTACGATAGGACAAATCATACTTAAGCCCAGACATTATTAGCTCTGAAACCAAGGAGCTACTTGAATATAATGAGCCTGTAGTTTGTCAGAAACGCCCATCAGTCATATGCCATGAGGGTCAGTGACACTTGAGGAAATTATTGATGATGTCATCCTCACAAGCTGCAAATCTCCATTTCAGTTCGTTTCCTTCACGGTTCTTCTCTTCCGCCTCTGTCTTGGGGCAATCATTGGCCCCCATGACTTGTGTGGCTAGACTAGGATTCTGGACTTCAGAGGTTGCTGATATTTGCAGGGTCAGGAAATCGAGGACAGGACAATAATTCTTTTCCTTCCCAGGTAGAGTTGTCAAAGTTGAGCTCCCAAACCAGTGATTTATTGTTGCCCCACAGGATTGTTGCTGGTTCTTTAAAGGTTTCTTAAAAGGGCAGATGCCTTTATAAGTTGCCTTCCAGTCATAAGTAATTTACCATAATTATAGGCCCTTCCCACAGATAGTTAAGCCTCTAAGCTTGAAGGAGCATAATAAACATATTAGCTTTTTTTCCAAAAGTTTAAGGTTTAATTTTGATGGATTTGCCAGAAAAGCTGACTTGTTGTTGTTGGCACTGGCACTGTCTACATGTGTGGGGATAATGACTTGAAATTCTTGCTTACCTGCATGTGACGTAGCCAAGGCTTGATCAGCCTGGGATGTAAAGTTACTCTTACTTTACGGTTGGTAACCCCAAATCCCTAGAGCCTTTGCCACAGTCAGACTTCATTATAAACCTATATTGGAGCGTTGCACTCTACAAATGAATTCTGTTGACGTTCTGAACTAAATATATACAAGCAGGTAGGATAATATGGTTTATCAGCAGTCTATTCATTCACCAAATATTTATTGAGGGCCTACTATGCGCCAGACACTGCTAGAAGCTGGGGATACAGCAGCAAACAAGTCAGGCCAAGTCTACACTTCTAGAACTTACCTTGTAATGGGATGAGAAGTTCTTTTTCTTTTTAAAAATCCACTTTATTTCCATTGGCTTGCTTTACTATATTTAACCTAACCAATTTTATAGAGCAACTAATTTTTTTGTGATAATTTGGTTACCAGGAGTTTGCTGATTGAATAGGTAAGATAACCAAAACACTAATCAGAATCAAATGCTTTTTGAAAATTAAATTTCATCTTAGAGACATACAAATAGATCTATATAAGAAGACATTGACATATAAACAATATATATATCATGAACATTTGAGCTCTATTTATTCAGTGAGGATTTAGGAAGAACCTACTGTTTAAACACCATGGGCTCAGTGCTGGGAAATATACTTGAGTAAGTCACAGCTGCTCCTCTCCTCCAGTAATTCCCCATGGTTGAAGGAATAAGATGATCACCATAACCCTGATACATGATAGTATTGTGTCAGTACAGAGACCGGTAAGTGCTACCAGTGTTGTCCTTAGGGATCAAAGTTGTTAGTATAGCAGTGAAAGTAATTCAAATTGAAGTACTGGTTCCAGAAACGAAAACTCATGGCATTTCAGTGAATAAACTTGTGGCATCTAAATATGTTCAATTATTTTTGTCAGCATATTTAATCAGTGCTTAAATAAAAAGCCAACAGAGGAACTTCTCTTGCATGTGGGTCTCTGACTCTCTCATGTATCTGGTGTTCCCATACATGATGTATGTATTAAATTTGATCATTTTCTCTTGTTAAAAATAAATAAATAAGTTATAAAGCCAACAGAAAAATCCATGCAGCTCAGTAATTATTATTCAAGAAGAGTTTTCTAACTTTCTTTTTTTTAAATTCTTTATTGTTTGAAGTATTACATGAGTCTCCTTTTTCCCCCCATTGACCTCTCTCCTGACACCCCCTCCCTCAAGCACAAGCCCTCATCCCTCCTACTGTCTGTGTCCGTTGGTTATGCTCATATGCATGCATACAAGTCCTTTGGTTGATCTCTTACCCCTCCCCCCACCTTCCCTCAAAGGTTGTACAGTCTGTTCTATGCTTCTATGTCTCTGGTTCTATTTTTTTCATCAGTTTATGTTGTTCATTATATTCCACAAATGAGTGAGATCATGTGATATTTATCTTTCTCTGACTGGCTTATTTCGCTTAGCATAATGTTCTCTAGTCTCATCCATGCTGTTGCAAATGGTAAGAATTCCTTCTTTTTTTTTTTTTACAGCAGTTCATACTTTCTCTTTTTAAGATCTCAATAATATATAGCATTAAAAAAAGCATTAAAAATGTGATATTCTCAAGGAAAACCTAATCATTAACAGGGTCGAAGAAATATGGCATATTATTTGATGCAGCATAAAGCTGAGTCATCTGGGAATTCCAAATAAAAGTGTTATTTTGTGGCTGAATAGTACATTTATTAGAACTTGTTTCAGTGAAAGGAAAAGCAGACGTTTTTCTCTTTTTAAGTTTCAGCATGTTAAAAGTGTGTTTGGTCTCTCGTTCTCTAGGAGTTCCTTGAAAAGTATCCAATTTATCAAGGTTATTTAGTAAATAAACATTTTCACAATGATATTCTGCCCATTCCTTGTTCCTGCAGAAAAACTTGGTAATGCTGAATTGTTGACATTGCACTTGTATTATTTTTACGTAACTATTATCACCATGGCATTATTAGAATTTTTCTGTCAAGAAGAAAATGGTATACAAGATGGAAACTTGTATAAACTTGAATGTCTAGTGGTGTATTTTCCTATTTTTAAGACATGGTAAGTGAATATCTATTGAAAACAGACTCCTTGTTAAAAGTAAGTTATCTTTAAAAAACAATATGCCTCGTCCAGGTGACCTGGAAGTTATACTTGCAAACCTACCTTCCCTCTCCCACAATACCTCGCGCTCTTTTTTTCCAACTTGGGCCAGGCATAATGGCTCCCGCAAAGAAGGGTGGTGAGAAGAAGGAGGACCATTCTGCCATCAATGAGGTAGTGACCAGAGAATACACAATCAACATTCACAAGCGCATCCATGGAGTGGGTTTCAACAAGCGTGCCCCTCAGGCACTCAAGGAGATCCAGAAATTTGCCCTGAAGGAGATGGGAACTCCAGATGTAGGCATTGACTCCAGGCTGAACAAAGCTGTCTGGGTCAAAGGAATAAGGAATGTCCGATACCATATCTGCGTATGGTTGTCCAGAAAACATCATGAGGATGAAGAGTCGCCAACCAAGCTCTATAGGTTGGTCACCTTTGTACCTGTCCCCACTTTCAAAAATCTACAAACAGTTAATGTGCATCAGAACTAATCACTGATTGCCAAATAAAGTTATAAAACTGCAAAAACAAAACGAAAAAACAATATGCCTCGCTGTTAATGATTCCCTAGGAATGTTTTCTTAAGAATGAGACATTCAGTACTTGTACTATGTCATTGTAAACGCAAGGATATTAAGGTTGGAAGACATTCTGGAAGTCTTTCAGCCCTTTTCTGTCATAAAGAAACTAAAGCCCAGAGGTCAAGCAACTTATCTATCATGCCATGATGAAGTAGTTGACTCGTATTAAAAACTTAAAAAAAATTCTTTTTAATTGTGTGTGATGGACGAAGTTAAATGAGTACATTTCTAGTTTGGAAAAAATGAACTGTATAAAGACAAAGGTGATGGTTTGCCAGGAATAAATGACATACCAATTCAGGAAATTCCTGAATTCTGCAGTATGCCCTATTGAAGTAGATCTGGAAAAAGTATGATGATTATCCATTATATTCTGCTTTTAAAGAAGTTGGGTAAGCCCTGGCCAGGTAACTCATTGGTTAGAGTGTCATCCCAATATGCCAACGTTGCAGGTTTGATACCTGGTCTAAGCACAGAGGAGAATCAATCCATGAATGCATAAATAAGTGGAACAACAAATCAATGTTTCTCTCAAATCAATAAATATTTTTTAAAAAGAATTTGGTAATAACTGATACTTTAAATAGCTATAGTTAAATACTAATACAAGTAAATAATGTAGTTAAATAATTAAGTAATAATATTGAGTTCATTTTAGACAAAGAACAATAGGAAGAATCTAAGTGCTTGGTATTTGTCTGACGAGTGAACTAAGATGCCATAATGTCACTCTGGCATCTACTAGTCATTTAATGAAATAAACACCATAATACTTAAAAATTAAGAAGCAAAGCAACCTCCAGACATGTAAACAAATATGTTACCCATGCGTCTGGAAGTAATTGCACCATTATTGCTGTTCTCATGACATTCAGATTAGCGTTTCTGTCGTTTTAGGAAGGAAGCTAAGAGCTTTCTGGAGTGATCGATCATAGCGGAGATGAAATCTGGGTGCAGGAGGCTTGGTGATAGGAGCAGGTAGTGTGTGTAGTGTTGGGCTTTGTTGAAGGGCCAGGAGGCAGCACTGAACATGGGCACTGGTGGTTGGTAAGAGGCATGCCTACATAAAGGTCACCATTTGAGTAATGATCTATAGATCGTAAGTCTGCTGGGGCAGGCAGGTCAGCAGTCAGAGGGAGGTGTTTTATAAGACTCCCCGGGCAGTTGTTTTGAATATCACCAGTTGCTGTCATAGTTGATTTTGTTTTACCAGCTGCGCACTTAGCTGCTCTCCACTGAGAGGTGAAGTAAAGTCACCTTAAGGCAAGTGACAGGAATCTGTGTGAGTGTACAGGAGTAACTGGAAGTCCATTTGGGATAGGATAATTACTAAACATTTAGAAGTTTACCTAAATTTGGGCAACTGCTGGCTTTGTCATTTATGTAGCCATTTTAATTATTGATTCTTATTACCTGGCCTTCCTAAAGGATTTTAGTTCAATAGAATTAGAATCGAAGTATAAGAATTTTGGAATTGGAAGGGGTTTTAGATTTAACTTAGTCCAACCCCCTTTGGTCTGTGTGGGAATTGTTTTGTAAATGCATAAAAGAATTGTCTTATTTTTAGTCAGCTGTTTTATTCCACATTTATATACATTGTAGCTACAAACTGAGGAGAGCTAAAGTTCAAATACAGGTTTATATCCAATGTCAACAGGACAGGATGACTAATGTTCATTACATATCTGAAAAAACTCCTTTGGGATGTAAAAGTATTTTCAGTTTAATGATTTTATGTTTCCCCTGATGTGAGGACAAGGACTGGATCTTTTATATTCATGAATAATACAGTGCTCATAACTCTTAGCTGCCCAGTATGTTTCCTGAATGAACGAAGTAAAATAAGTTAAATTATAAACCCTTCCAGTGAGAACTTTTCATCTTTCTGGAGTTGCCTACAGCATTAGCAAGTATCTCAGGCTAAACACTGAGAAAGAGGGAGATCAGTGGGTATTAACTGTAATGCATCTGCACACCAAGACTATTTAGAAAGAGCCTTCAAATACTAATTGATGTTTAAACTTTTCCTGTGACTCCATTTTTTGTCTTTAATACTGGCTTCTGCTATAATAGGATTTTCTTGTTTTCATTGTGTGGTTTGCTACATGTATCTTACAGGCAGTTTACTCTATTTCCCCTAAATGTGCTCCTTGCCATCCACCTCTGTGAGTTTTTAAAAATGCTTTATTGTTTAAAGTATTACATATGTCTCCTTTTTCCCCCATTGACCTCTCCCCAACCACTCCCATCCCCCAGCACATGCCCTCACTGTCTGCGTCCATTGGTTATGCTTATATGCATGCATACAAGTCCTTTTTGATCTCTTATTCCCACCCCACCCCCTTTTTCCCCTACTTTCCCTCTGAAGTTTGATGGTCTCTTCGATGCTTCTATGTCTCTGGATTTACTTTTGTGCAACAGTTTATGTTGTTCATTATATTCCAAGAATGAATGAGATCAAGTGGTATTTATTTTCTCTGACTGGCTTATTTCACTTAGCATAATGCTCTCCCGGTCCATCCATGCTGTTTCGAATGGTAAGAATTCCTTCTTTTTTATAGCAGCGTAGTATTCCATTGTGTAGATGTACCACGGCTTTTTAATCCACTCATCTCCTGATGGGCACTTAGGCTGTTTCCAAATTTTAGCTTTGTAAATTGTGCTGCTATGAACATAGGGTATATATATCCTTTGTGCTTGGTGTTTCTGATTTCTTGGGATATATTCCTAGAAATGGGATTATCAGGTCAAATGGAAGTTCCATTTTTAATTTTTTGAGAAAACTCCATAGCGGCTGCATCAGTCTGCATTCCCACCAGCAGTGCAGGAGGGTTCCTTTTTCTCTGCATCCTTGCCAGCACTTGTAGTTTGTTGATTTGTTGATGATAGGCATTCTGTCAGGTGTGAGATGGTACCTCATTGTTGTTTTGATTTGCATCTCTTGGATGATTAGTGACTTTGAGCATGTTTTCATATGTCTCTGGGCCTTCTGTATGTCCACTTTTGAAAAGTGTCTATTTAGGTCCTTTGCCCATTTTTTGATTGGATTGTTTATCTTCCTTTCGTTACGTTGTATGAGTTCCCTATAAATTTTGGAGATTAAACCCTTTTCAGATATAACATTGGCAAATATGTTGGGCTCCTTACACAAACTTCATATTTTTGGATTCTTTTTTTCTTTTTGCTCTTCTGGTTGAGTGTTTTTGCTTCCTCACATTTCAAATCATTGATTTGATTCTCAGAATCCTTTACTGTTGACTCCCTGTATATTATTCTTTATTTCAGTCAGTGTATGCTTAATTTCTGACTGGTCCTTTTCCATTTTTTGGAGAGGTTTCTAGAAGATTCTTGAGTAACCTTATAACCGTGGTTTTGAACTCTGTATCCAGTATTTTGCTTTTTTCCATATCTTTCATTTGTGACATGTTTCTTTGTCTCCGCATTTTGGCTGCTTCCCTGTGTTTATTTCTATGTACTGGGTAGAGCTGCTATGTCTCCTTGAGTTGGTAGAGTGGCCTTGTATAGTAGGTGTTCTACAGGGCCCAGTGGCTCAGCCTCCTCAGTCACCTGAGCTGGGAGCTCTAGGTGCACCCCTTTGTGAGTTGTGAGCACAGCCTTGTTGTAGTTGAGACTTGATTGCTGTCGGTGTTACTGGGAGCAATTGACCTCCAGGCCAATTGGCTGTGAGGACCAGCTGCAACTACAGGGAAAGCTGCTGTTCAGGAGATACCCCTATGGAGCAGGACTTGCTTCAGTGGGACTTTGGTGTTCATTGAGTCTGCCCCTTGAGTGTGTTGCTTATGGATGTGTAGAGTTGTAATTTAGTATTGTCTGACACTAACCACTGGGTACATTGGCTCTTGGGTCTCCAGGGAGGTGCAAAGTCAGCCACTGCTTAGGGCCACTCAGCAGGAGCTACAGAGAGAACTGCAGATTCCTCCTCTTTGTATCGGGTTTGGAAGTGCCTAGATGAGGCCCAGCTGTCAAGCAAGGCAGGCTGCTGCTGGTGCCAGGTCTCGGGCCTTTTATTGATAGGTTTGGAACTCCCTAACCCAGCTGCCGCTTGTTGGAGAGATTTTAGCCTAAGCAAGGAGAGGCCATTCATATGCAAAAGCTGCTGCTCACAGTGTGGGTGGGGTTATAAATTGGATGAGGCAGGGTCTTAGGGACTCACAAGGGTGGAGCCAATAGAGATGGCTGCCAGTCAGCCCTGTGACCAGGGAGGTCCCAGCATAGAAACAATGATCCCTGCAAGTACCTCCATCTGGAGAAAGCTGTCCCCAAGTTCCTGCTCTGATGCCAGACAATCCAGTTCCTCCTCGTATGTGTCTGAACCTCGATCTGGTGGTGGAGCTCAGAGGAAGCAGGACCTTGTAAGTTCAGTTTGTGGTGCCGGCCTTTTAAGAGGAACAGCTGGGTCTCCAGCAGCCTCTGTGTCACTGAGCCCCAATCCACACTGGTTTTTATAGCCCATAGTTCTTACGGACAGTAGGGACTTCTTTTCCTAGCTCTGGGACCCTGGGCTAGGGGGCTGGTGTGGGGCTGGCTCCTCCGGGCAGACTCCGCAGAGATCTCCCTCCCAGTTAAAAAAGCTGCACATGTGGGTGCCAGACCAGCTCGATCAATGCCTCCACACCTCCTACCAGTCTCAGTGTGTTTTCTTCTTTACTTCCCTGGTTGTAGGATTTCCATTCAGCCAGCTTTCCAGCAGTTCTGGATAATGGTTGTTCTGTATTTTACTTGTAATTTTGATGTGATTGTGGGAGGTGGTGAGTACCTGCACCGCCATCTTCAAATACACCGCTGTTGAAATGCTACCCATCCTTCATGGCCAAGCTCTGATGCCACTTTCATTTTCCTTTGGTGGTATATTCCTTATACCTCCTTTTGATAAAACTTCTGCTTTATGACACTGAGTATATCTCTGCCCCCATATATTATTATGTCTATTATAAAAGATAAAATGTTAATCTTCCTTCTAGCCACCCTCTTCTGATCCTCTACCCTTCCATACCCCAATTGTAAGCCCTTGAGACAGGATGTATCTTGTGGTCATGGCTGTTTACATTCTGCATCCATTGGAAATAAAATGAAAATAAGAATGCATGAATAATGGAAGGAGGTCCAGTTATTAAGGTGGGAACTATATGGAGTGTTTCCATCACATGAATGTTAATACTAAGGAGTGTCAGATAAAGGGGGGGAAATGGATCTGTATATTGGATTACACTTATTTGGTTCCTGGGAAGAATAAAGAGTACTGAACAGAGAACATTTCATTTTGTTTTACTCCAATATAGTTTATATCAAAGAAAGTTTTAAGTTTAAGTCATTCCCATAGTTAATGAACTGTACAGTCTTGCACTTAATTCCATATACTGTAAAGACAACATTAACATTAGGAAACATGCACACATTTAGTAAAAGTTGAAAATGATTTGAATATTTTTAAATGTAAGAATGTAAGGAATACATTTTAATCAATTGCTTGAATTCTTTTACTTTTATTTTTCCCCACTAATTTTAGTATCATTGGCTTTCTATACTGGAAAAACTCTTA